CGTACATGAATTTGCTCGATCGTTCTACCTTTTTTCACTCGCACATTTACCCATCTATCCAAATAGCCTCACTTGATGCACCTATTAACTCTCTTTCCACCCCCCCTCCCTCCCACCCCACCGTCCATTAACTCACCAAACGTTCAAAACCTCGCTGTGTAATCAGTGTAGTGGTATTAACTATAGAGCTTTCGACAGCCTTCCACCCCTTCCATCTCTTCCTTTTTAGTGGAAGCGCCGTCTCTTCTTCTCTCGCATGCTCTTCAATCTCCTCGCTTTTGATTCCATCATCCTACTTCTCGCGGCCCTAGTGATTTGGTGGTGCGTCTTCGTCGTCACCGATTTTGAGGTCTACAAACACTTCCCTACAATGCCTTTTGGTGTATCAATCCCGATCATTATAATGGCTATTCCGCTTTCCATTTTCGGCATGACAGTTTTCATATTTACAACTCGCTTCTGCCGTAAATTGAGCGATCTCTGGTGTCGTCTCAATCGCGTGAGTGTGGTGAGAGAACCACCCGAGGAACGAATCGCTAGCTTAAGGCTGCAACACCATTCACAATCCATCCAAGCCCACGTTGACGACGAAAGTGACATCTTCACTGCGATTCCTTGAGGGTCGGAGGGGCGGAAGAAGGTACAGATGGCGGTGGGGTTTTTTCCCTTCTTTTACTCTCCTCGTTTAACATGTCTTTCGTGCTCTTGGTCAATCGCACATGGTTGAGCTTATCCACCCCTGCTTACTACAACTAACATTCATGTCCTCCATTTGGAACCCAAGCATTCCAAACAATGCTTTTTTTCTCCATTTTGTATCAGTATTCTCCACTGTATGGGAAAATAGATATTAGTTAATAATTTGCAAGCATTTTTCAGTTGAGCTCTCCCTCAACCCCCCTAGTTTGGCCACCACAGCTGGAGGAATGCATCTCAGACTGATCCATCTTTCTTTTCTCTTCACCTGTCTATTAAACGATGTGGCCATCCAATGTAGTAGTTGAGAAGACTGCAATCAGAAGAGTTTGGAGATCTGATCTGGAAACAGCATAGTCGTACTACGTTCCTGTCATTTTCTCTTGATTTGCATAGGATGGCTGTGAAGGAGTTAAGTCTATTGAAACTTCCAAAACTTATGCCAAGCAACGCTGGCCACCTACGTTGTGGGTATGGGTGATTGGGTCTAAGGATTGGGGGGAAGGGGGTAAATGCAAGTAAATTCGATTTCATGCTCTTCTGAAGTTAGATGCATTTAAAGGCTCCTATTCATAAATGTGAGTCGTGCCTGAAGTCAGCCTGACGATGCAATTGGTCATGGCAGTAGTGAAAAGAGGGAAGTGAACTG